CTATCATAGGAGATGATAAGGCAAGTTTCTTACGTCGAAACATCGGATGTCCACCAATGAGGATGACAGTGTTCCATACAAGTGAAATTTTACTTCTTTCATTTACTATTGTGTAACAATCCTGTGAATGATATCAGATTCAATGTTTAAATGAAAGTAGCTGTTTCGAGAGGGCTTTTCTTCCAGTTTGTGTTTGAAAGTTACTCCTTTGCATGATCTACACATCCTTGTATAGAGTTAATTTTTTGAAATAGATTGCTTCTTTCTTTTCTTTGGATAAGGATGGAGAAGTAGAAATGCAAGGTCTCGTGTATATGTCAAATCAAGTAAATGGGCTACCTTCCATGATACAGTCTTTAAAAAGTGATGCTCACCTTCAAAATCCTCAAGCACACTTCAACTTCCCTGGGGTGAAGAGGTTTTAAATATGAATGGCATTGTAAATCCATAGCAAATGCTGCTTGTTATTGATTCCTTCGAGAAGTTTTTTCAAACAAAAATACCACCAAGTAAATCGAAAAAAGGCAAAGAACACTAGTAATTTACCCATCTAAAAACGAAAAATTCGCTTGCACAAAATTGACTAATGTGATATTTTCACATCAGAATACATCTACTCAAGATGTAAACTAGTGACAAAACTAAAGTTATGATTTTCTTGCCATAAAAACAGTCACCAAATGCTTGTTATTGATTCCTTCAAGAAGTTTTTTCAAACAAAAATACCACCAAGTAAATCGAAAAAAGGCAAAGAACACTAGTAATTTACCCATCTAAAATGTGATATTTTCACATCAGAATACATCTACTCAAGATGTAAACTAGTGACAAAACTAAAGTTATGATTTTCTTGCCATAAAAACAGTCACCAAACTATGAATTGTCGTTTTAGACAATCATGTTAAAGGATGGGTGTAAACGTCCACATCTCATAACTTCTACACAAAGAAGTAAGACATTCAGTTTCAGAAAATCCTGGAAAGTTCTTTAAATGACGGAAGAAATTGAATTGTATTTTCAACTAAACATGAAACGAATACAATAACATACTAAGAATGATAAACATGAAGCTCTATGAACCGGGTAATAATGTTCTGGAAATAAAATAAATTGTATCGCTGTGAAACGAATATTTAATCATTTGAAATGGAGTCAAGATGTTGATATCAAATATGGAACAGAAAAAATTAATTTTCCGATGAAGATTGGGCGGGAATACTAATACTAGAAAACCACCAACTGGTTTCAAAGAACATGTAGTACATACTCGTATCAGATTTCAAAGACCAGAAAAATCTAGTGTCGCTCTAAACTCTTTGGAGAACGGCAATAGAATAAATGAAAACTGTTTGAAATTGTTGAGATCGGTACGTAACAGTAGATTTTGAATGCTTTTGAAAATCTGTAAACAGCAAAGTGTGGTATAAGAACTGTGAACTGAGACAAAAGTCCCATTTCAAACAGTCCATTGTTTATATTTATATGTTCATTATCAAAAATTTCCCGCAACTTTCTACTCAAAATTATAGATGTGTATCTAATAATAATAATAATAAATGCTTTCATTGATAGGTTACTCAGTACAAGAGACACTAACCTAACCTAACAAATGGCAGAATTCAACATCTGCACATGATAAATCACGGTAGATATTACTCTTCAATCCAACCAGTGAAATGAAAGTGAACTGGTCGTATCTTTGAGGGTTAGGATTTAGTGTACTTGATCTAACGACACCGATTTGGTCAGTGAAACGTGCGTCGAAAAAAGGGTGGCAGTTTTGGTGTTTGAAAACATGGCTTGTTTTGTCAGATTCCAGTTCTACCTTTCTTTACAGTATTGAATATTGATGCCGGGGGGGGGGTAATTAAACCACATTCCCCCCATAAATCCTATACGAAAACTAACTGTGTCATGCTAAACTTTATGGCTGGCCAGAAAAGGAAGGTGTCAGAAGGAGAGGTGAAATATCAGTAAAGGATAATATTTTCGAGGAGAAATAACAGATTTGCTGTCAAAAAATGGCAACTCGGACAAATGTAGCATTTTTATCGGAATAATTTTTCAAGGAACAACAGTTTAGTTAATTTTACAAATTTCTATCAACTGAATAATCCTTTTAAAACAGACTTCTTGGAAGACATTAAAAACACATAACTTACCTGAGTTTTGAATTTAGAGAATCAATATGTATAGACTTATCCAATAGCATTTTTTTAAGTTTTTCAACGTTGTCTCCTAGGGAATTATTTTCCTAAATAGAAGATATTGAAATAATATTGACATCACTTTCCAGGCAATACTTACATGACATATATTAATGCTTTGATCAAGTGAATTTTTCTTATACACTGCATCAACTCTATCTGAAAAACTGAATTATATACACAAATTTTTAAAGCTCCATAACACCACCTTGTAGCTGTCTATTTTCCTTTGTTAACAAATCGATAACGTTAATAAGATCTTCACATTGTTTCTGAGCACTGTCGAAATTTTTTGTCAAAGCATCAATGGTATTTTTATAATCAATCTCTTGCTTCAACAGATTTTGTATTTCAGAGTTGGCCAGTAATTTTTCCTTTTCCTGAAAACAACCTTTAAAAAGTAATCAACTTAAAATTGAAATAAATAAATTACATGTATTTTTGCTGCTTTAGTTTGTTCCTCTAAAAGAGATTCCAGTCTATCAATTTTGTCCTGATAGGATTTCTGCAATTCCGTAGAGTTGAATCTTTTATCTTCTAGGTGAAATGGGTTGATATCTCTTTGAATTTGGAGTTGTAAATCATTGATAGTAGACTGATAAGTGCTAATCTCAAGCCGATACTGAAATTGTTTACTAACTTATTCAAGATGCATTATTTATAGTTAGTATATTACATTTTCAATGGCCTCTTCATAGTTTCTTAACTGTTCTCTGTGGCTGTCTGAAGTAACTCTAAGTTCATTGATGATACTTGATTTCTCAACTGTAAAAAGTCTAGCAATTATATTTTATTATTACAGAAACAAGTTATAGAACTTTTATTTCTATTGCCAACTAAAATTAATTTATCAGCTCAGTTATTCTATTTAATAGCTACAAAAAAGCTATAGTTGTATCCCCCACAAAAGTGTGGTTTCGATTCAAGCTGAAATGAAAACAAGTGAAGAGTTTTGAATAGAACAATGAACTACAGAAAATGTCATAGATACTAAGCGGTTCAAATGAATAACAATTGAATTCAACATATCAGTGAATGTATGTATGTATAAAATGTATGAATGTATAAAAATTACTATCGAACTAGAACTATCATAGGAGAAATATTGCCTCGAATCATCTAAATCAAATATATGAAAATTATGACATCCAATCATTTATAGAAGTTAATGTAAACTTTGATGAAATTGATAAAAAGTGTCAAGGAAAACTCAAAAAAATTGACGAGGGCAGACCTATAGTTTTATGGCCCAAAAATATTGGTATAAGCCAAACGAGAAAATTTACAAATGGAATAACACATACAAACATCATAATTATAACAGAGCCTTTTTTGGCAAAAATAATAAAATTTACAGAAACAATCGAACTTTGTATAACAAAATTCACTATATGAATTCAATGTCTATAAATGCACTTCAATGCAATAATTATATCGGAATTTTAAATATCGACCAAAGTGGATAAGATCTGAAAAAGTCTGTTTTATATTTCATAAGCAAAGCATTGGCAAATCATATCAAGTCTCGACAACATCTTTGACACTGATGTAGAAAATATATCTATGGAACATATACATATGAATGGGAACTTGGTGATTGAAGATGAAATAGTGTTGAATGAATGTCAAAATTTTTCAGTTGACGAGAATCAAAAAGAAAAATGAATACCAGACACACCAAAAAATGATTTGTCATATCCTCGCCGAGTTAAGAGGCTTTAAAAGATATCTAAGCAGACAAGATAATGCTCCATCAAGCCAATTCGATTGTTCAGCAATAAATGAAAGTCAGAGAGTTTGTGGCACCAAATGTGTTATGCCAATGTTCAGGGGTTGCCGAATAACTTTTGAATTATTTGTTCATAATAAAAGTACTTAAATCGTTTGTTTGTCAGAGCACTGGATAACTGAAAACGATTGAAAATTCATATTTTACTAACTTTGAAATTGCAACAATTGAACAAAACCATATCTGAGGTGGTGTTTGAATCCTTATAAAAAAAAACATTAAATACAGGGTGTAACTGAATAAGTGTAAAACATTTAAGGAGGTGATTCTTCATCGAAAAAAAAAATATGATCTTTCATATAAAGAAACTTCATTGGAGCATCCCTTGTTAAGATACAGCCCCTTAAAGGGGGTACATAAAATGTGAATAACAATTTTTTTCACAAGCACTGAAAAAGTTACAATATTGACATTAACCTGACGTTTTGTACNTAGATAGATTAGTTTCGTATTTTCGCATTTATGACGATGTATCTCTGTAGTTGTTCTTAAAATAATTTTTTGTTGCGAACTGGTTTATTTTGGGCAAAAAAACCAAGAGACGATTTTTGTTTAGAATGAAACAGGCTATCGGAAATAGATTTTTAAATGGTAAACAAATAATAAGATATAAAAAGTTACATTGGAAATAAATTTTAAGGGTTGCGTTTTCCACCCCTTACAACCATGGGGTAAACCAAATAAATTTCTGGCTAAGTGTATTTTTGGTAGTACAAAACGTCAGGTTAATTTCAATATTGTAACTTTTTCAGTGTTTGTGAAAAAAATTGTTACTCATACAAATTTTATGTACCCCCTTTAAGAGGCTGTATCTTAACAATACTACAATGAAATTTCTTTATATTAAAGATCCTATCTTTTTTTCGATGAGGAATCACCTCCTTAAATGTTTTACACTTATTTAGTATAATGAAATTCTAAAAATAAAAAAATCAGAGTGAAAAATTGAATATGTGGCATTTACTGTGAAGTGAATAACTTGAAAATTATAGTTATCACCATCTACAGACCTCCAAGTGGAGATGTAAATCTATTGGTTGTTTATTACACACACTACAACTTGCCGAGATCAAATGAAATATCATTTTGTGTGGAGACTTCAATATAGATTATTTGGAGAACAATACTACTATACCAAATTATAGGATATGTTCAACTCATTTCAGTTGGAATTTAACATGTTAGGCCCCAAAAGAATGTTCACCAACATCGATGATCACACTAGCAACGTCAGTATTGATTTTATGATTATATTTCTGCAAAGAAATTTATGACTGTGTATTAATACAAACTGATATTGCAGACATTCTGTCCTATAAATAAACTATTGATAAAAAAGATCAACAAGTAATGAAAAAGAAAGTTTGGAAAAATGGGAAATGAAACGTTCTATGTTTCTTACCACTTTTATTTGTAACTATCGTTACTGCAGTTTCGTCCTATATGGACATTTTCAAACTAATACAATAAAACTGAAAATAATTAATAATGTTAGCCTTTATATAACTGAACACCAAGTACTCAATTGAGTACTTGAATTTTGTTTACCTGTGACAATGGGACTACGTTAATTTGAAAACCGGTGAGTAAACAAGATCGCTTTAATCATTTAGCAGGTTACATCCACAATGCTTATGAATTTGGAATCCTTCGAATCAGTTTATTGAAGAAACTTTAGTTTAATCTGTTTTGGTAAAAAGATGAATCAATTCTTGTAGCATTAATGACTATAATATGGTTTCCAGCCTATTTATGAAGGATTCTCTTTTACCTAGAGTCCCTCTCTTGATGTTTCAATGTCTCTGTTCTAAAAGACTAACTGTTGTCAGAAAGGGATGAATAACAACAGGATTTTTGATGATTTTGCCTAGGAAGGAAAATATGTACGGGATATGTTCTAATTATTTCAAATCGAGGAGTTGACCCAAGTAATATGGCTTCATACAAGGCTAGGCTAAGGGAATACAAAAAAGTTACTTTTCTACTAAAATTAACAATGCCAGTTACAAACTGAAGACACATGGAATATAGTATATAGCGAGTTAGGAATTATACGCATTATCACTCAGTTGTGGTTGAACACCCTCCTGCAATAGCAGAACTATTTGCCCATCTTTTCGTAAATTCTGCTGACACTGCAATTTCCACACAATTGAGTTGAAATCTAACATTACCTTGAACAACCAGTACAAACATTTATATTGTAAATTCATTCGAGAACGGACTGATTACTGAAGCTGAATTTCATGCTGCATTGATGCTAATGAAAATAAAAACTCGAGTGGATCAGAGGATTTCTCAAAAAACAGTTAATAAACAAATATTTGAAATAATTGATATCATTGTAATTCCATTTATTTATCTAATGAATAAATCTTACACATTAGGGTACTTCCTCAGAAGAATTCAAGAAAGCCTCAGTCACTCTTTGTTTCAAAAAAGGAAATTGAAATGATGTGAATAACTATCACAAATTTCAATACTTTGTTCACTTTCAAAACTTTTTAAAAAAGTGGTAGCAACTAGAATAGTGAATTACTTACAGTTAATTAATTTGCTGTGTAATAGTCAACATGGATTTAGGAAAAATCTTTCTATAGAAACTGCAGCCTATGATTATCTCAATAACATATACTCCAGAATTGATGGTAATAATTTTGTAATAGTATATTTTTTGATCTGTCAATGCAATTTGATGCTGTTTCACAATGTCTTTGAAGAATGGTTTTGGTAAACGAGAGAATTGATTTTAACGAACTTCCAACAGTACACCAACTTCCTCCTTATCATTGTGAATAAATTTTGATAGAATGTGAATTGAAAGAGGTTCGAAAATGTCACTAAATATTTTTCGGAAAAAAGTGTTCACCATGTGGTTAAAGTACAAATAAGGTAGAAGTTGGACCACATTATTGATGAAACCATTGAGAACCAATAATAATGAAGTTAAACGACTCTTCTTTCGTTCATGACGTACATATTATTCACATATTATTTCATTATATGGTTCACTATTATACTTTATATATTTTTGATATATTTTTTATTTGATATAAAAGCTAAGTACTTTTTTATTGAATATTCTGAAATAAAATTTAAAAAAACCTTATGAAAATGACTATTAAAAATAGCATCAATTAAGTGACTGTTTCTTGTTAGGTGAGTAGGCAAAATGATTCATAACTCACTACCTTCATGACCAATCCCAGATGATTTACAGTTGTATTTCAAGTGACTAGTATACCACTTTTTAAAAATGAACCATAGTCTACAGAATATCTCTACAGGGTAAGGTTAGTCCACTAATGCCAAGAAATTGACATTTCAAACACATGAAAGCCTTTTCTGTTATAAACCAAACGTGTGAAGCTCTATGGGTTGGCCCTTTTATTCATGATAAAGTACTTCTTGAATGTTTCTGAGAAATTAATAATTAAAAAAAGTCAAAACATGCCCCCACTTCTCCCATCAATGGCTTATTACATGACTGTCAGTCAAGAAATAATTCAAGTAAGAAGAGCCTTTTCAACCTTAAAAATTCAAAACTCAAATTAAAATATATGGAATGAATTTGTGAAACTGTCTTAACTTTGGTTTGCAGACTGTATTTTTTTTGACATGCTAACTGATGGGTAGACTATACCACACCAAAATCTCTGTGTTAGGCATGTAGTTCATAAACAATATCTAACGTGTAGTCAACAGTGGATTTGCTTGTTGGTCCATTTGAAACATATTAAAATACCATTGGTTAACTATAAATATGGATTTAACATCTCTGAATGAATTATTTTGGCTATTTATGTTTCTTGTATCAATTAAGGTTGTTGATCATTAATATGGCACCAGTTTGTTGATAACTCTGTTATTATCTGAATTTCACCAAACATAATCTAAATAATGTAAAATGCTACCAGATCAGCAATCCAAAGAAATGGTATAGACCGATTTATCTCCACAGTTCTGATCTACTTGAGAAAACATTAACAATATATTTTTCTTTCTTCATAATATTATTTCCAAAGATGATAGAAATAATTTCAATTAACTTTTCTAGATCAAAGCTCGATATTAACAATCAACAGGTTACCAGACCACTTCAACAAAACCCTGAACAGGCTTTTGGAATTGCATCATTTTCGTAACAAATTCAGAAACAAAAAAAATCTCACCCAGCAATTCATTAGTATTCTTAAGCAAAACTTTGGTTTGTTGAATCTCAGCTTCATAAGTGATAATTTTTCTTTTCAATAATTCTTTTTCTCTGAGCTCTTCTTTTTTGAAAGTATCATACTCGTTCCTCAAGGCACTCAACTCCTTGAGCCTCACATCATATAGAACTTTCAACTGTTCATACTGATCTGCATTTCGATATTTATTCTGATCATCTAAAGACACAGCAGAAACGTTATTTGATGAATTTATAGTACTCTCATCATAGTTGAAGTCGTCCAACTTAGCCATTAATAGATTTTGAAGCTGAAAAATTCCAAATTTCGTGAACGATTGAAATTAATTCTTTCAAAAACACAAACTTCTTCATTTCTCCGGTGTTGATCTTCCAAATCCTCCTCTTCCTCATTGCATCTGGAATTACTGAGTTTCAAATCCCCATCTTGAAATAAGCTTGACACTGGATTATCCATTCAATAGATTTTGTATTCTGAAAACAATGAATACCGTACCTACAATTGAAACTTAAAAACACATATTCAAACATGAACAGATTATAGGTTATGGGCAGTCAATTAAAAAATAACCTTAGACAAGGAAAGATTTACCTAATCTAAGAAAATAACACATCAAATTCCCCAACTCGATTAGGAATTCCCTGAAAAATTCCACACGCATGCGCGAAGCATTTGAACTAATGGCCATTATACAGGGTGTAACTGAATAAGTGTAAAACATTTAAGGAGGTGATTCCTCATCGAAAAAAAGATGGGATCTTTCATATAAAGAAATTTCATTGGAGCATCCCTTGTTAAGATACAGCCCCTTAAAGGGGGTACATGAAATTTGTATAACAATTTTTTTCACAAGCACTGAAAAAGTTACAATATTGACATTAACCTGACGTTTTGTACTACCAAAAAAACACTTAGCCAGTAATTTATTTGATTTACCCCATGGTTGTAAGAGGTGGAAAACGCAACATCTAAAATTCATTTCCAATGTAACTTTTTGTCTTATTAGTTGTTTACCATTTAAAACTTTATTTCCGATAGCCTGTTTCATTCTAAACAAAAAATGCCTCTTGGGTTTTTTGCCCAAAATAAACCAGTTCGCAGCAAAAAACTATTTTACGAACACCTACAGAGATACATCGATAACAATACATATACATTGATATCAAAACACACAACATGTAGAAATCATAGTAAATGTTCAATACTTTCAATATGTTCTACCTTCAGACATTACGCATGCGTCTAGACGCCGGCGCATTGAGCCACGTACCTATTCGCTCAAATATTCCTGGAGTAGATATCTCTGATTACCCTGCACGTATCGATAATGCGGTTTCTTAAGTCCTCTACATCGCGAACAGGAATACGATAAACTAAATGCTGAATATTGTTCCAAATAGAGAAATCGACAGGATTGAGATCCGGGGATCGAGCAGGCCAGTTCTGCGGTCCTCCTCGAACTATCCACTGATTTGCATATGTCTCAGTTAAATACTCACGTGCTATTTGACTTAAATGGGCGGGAGCCCCATCACGCATAAAAAAGATATCCCTTCTGACGCCAAAGGAAATTCCTCCAGCAGTACTGGATGCACTTCTCTTAAAAATTGAACGTATGCCTCACCATTTAATCGAGGAGGTAGAAAATGAGGCCCAATTAAATCATCCCCAATAACTCCGAGCCATACGTTAAGAGAAAACTGTTCTTGATGGTTAGTTTCGACAATAGCGTGAGGGTTTTCATCAGCCCATATGTGATAATTATGAAAATTAATAATCTTGTCCTGAGAAAAACTGAATTTATCGTCTTCAGAAAGTCTCAATTTCTTCTAATCATTTCCAGCATCCAATTGCAAAATTCATGACGGTTCGGAAAGTCTCGCGGTAACATTTAGCTGGAAAGCAATCTTCTAGTAGGTACTGGTAGTAGGTTGTTCTTCAATCAAATTAAGTACTGCCTCCTCAAGCTGTGGTGTTCGTACTTCTCGAAGGCGACCACAATCCTGCGTTCTTTTGTCGAATGAACCATATTCTCGTAATCCTTGATGAAGTCGAGCAAATATATTCTATGTGAAGGATGCTGCCGTTGAGGATACATTTCAACATATCTTCTAGAAGCTTCTAACCCATTCCCCTGCGACAGACCGTAAACGTAATGCATATCAGCCATTTCCTCGTTTGTGTATGCCATTTTGATAACAAGTAAATTATTAAAGTAACAAATTAAGAACAGAACAACAACACACAATTAGTATTAATTCAATTTCGAAAATTCACAAACATAAAATAATTTTTTGCTGCGGTCTGGTTTATTTTGGGCAAAAAACCCAAGAGACGTTTTTTGTTTATAATGAAACAGGCTATCGGAAATGAATTTTTAAATGGTAAACAAATAATATGGGTTCCGTTTTCCACCCCTTACAAGTATGGGGTAAACCAAATAAATTTCTGGCTAAGTATTTTTGTTAGTTCAAAACGTCATGTTAATTTCAATATTGTAACTTTTTCAGTGCTTGTGAAAAAAATTGTTATACAATTTTTATGTATCTTAAGGGGCTGTATCTTAACAAGGGATGCTCCAATGAAGTTTCTTTATATGAAAGATCCTATCTTTTTTTCGATGAAAAATCACCTCCTTAAATGTTTTCTTATTTAGTTACACCCTGTATTGTTTCGGAAGAGATAAGTAACACTATGCATCTTGCTACGCACTGAATGTAAACGACACATGTGAATGACATGACAACAGAAATACTTTTCGAAGCTGTTTGCTTATAACGATAAAGATAGAGCTGTAATATATGAAAAAATACGATGGACGTAGACATTTTATATTGTTCTGTAATTAGTTGAATCAAGTCGTTAGGACTGGTTATGAATAGAAGTGATAAACGCAGAGCGGCAATCATGATCCAACAACCACCTATAAACTACATTCCCCCATTGAATTTCCTAAAACACTTTTCCAATTCGACCTGTGGTGTCGTTTGTAACGACTCCATCGGTAACAATAAACATATTATGTTTTTTCTATATTAACTTGAAAAAAGAAAAACCCTATACCTACTTGAATTTTCTGCTCGATTTCAATGATTCGAGATTTTTACTCAAACTGTGTAACTTATTGCTTTCAATCTATTCAACTTTCTATTTCTCCTAGGATTCAATTTGCGATTTGTTTTCGGCATCTTTCTTGATATTAAATATTTATTCCCAAAATGCTAAACAATATTTTGATTATTGAGGCAAGCGATGGAAAATTAACAAAAGTGCAAAGTTTGAGTTCAAGTCGAAAATATCATTGGATGAGCTGCGATATCACCACGTGACTAGTGTATAGTAAAACGCCAGAACTCTGAAGTGACAAAATTAAAAAACGTGCCGTGTCACAAATACCATTGGATGAGCTGTAGGAAAGGGAAAAGTGTGTTTCACATGTGGAAACTTTACATAAAGAAAAAACACTTATCGAATACTAGGTAAGTAAAAAGTTACAGTGGTACAATCTGTAAAATGTTTACAAATACACAACATATGTTGGGTATTTCTATTTGTATTCCAAATGTATTGAAAACACTTTTCCTTCACCGGAACAAAATACTGTCTCGCTCGACGTTCGTGTCGTTTATCAAGTTAGCATCATCAGAAGATGACTAAAAATGAATTCAACGGCTATCCTATTTTCTTATATACGCATTTTGACCAACCATCACTTCATTACCTAAATTAAATTGATTCCTAGAATAACGTATTTGTGTTATATTGTTATTGTTCTTATTGTTAAGGTAGCCTTAAAATTTAGTTCTAGCAGCATCTAATAATGTTTAACGAAACGCGCGTCGAAATAAAGTATTCTGTTCTGGTGTGGGAAAAGTATTTATAATAGATCCATTTTAAGCCAGGAATTCCAATATCATTATTCCGACGTTTATGTCGGAATTTCACAGTTGAGTGTAGCAAAAACATGAATCCGAGTCAGAAAACGGGAATATCAAAAAAATAACTAGTGTGGCTCTTTTACGCTTTTTACAACTGTTATAGTAGTTGTGAAATAAATAAAACAGAAAAATTAAGTGACAATAGATCAATATATAAAGCGTTTTCTGGCGCTCATGTATTCAAAACGTATTCGTCTATGATTCAAATACATTCATTCTGGCGTTGAAACGATGATGTCACACCAACTATGGTTTGAAATGTATTCAAGAGTAGCGTGAGGTTGGTTTTGAAATGAAATTTGACGTTATGTTAGGTCAGCTGTAAGTTTCTGCTTTGTTTTGATTGTTATAGTTCATAAAGTGCTGAAAACCTTTCATCAATTACGTTGTAAGGATGTACAAAATAAAGTTGTATGCACAAATCCGATTCTAATTGAGGTTAGAGAAAATTGAAAAGTGTTCTCATTATTGAATTTTATATCCGACACAAATTGAGTTATTCAATTCTGGCGTATCTTATTATTAATGACGTCACTACGAATAGCGAATCGTTTTGAATACACGCTCGAATAAAATTTTTAAACGCCAGAAAATACCTATAACAGCATAGCTGTCGAGTTTCACGCTCCCAAACATTGTAGCCAAGTTGCAACTGTCCCGAGACACTTCACGTTTTGTGGCCTGATATACAATTTTTCCAATTTTAATATTGGTAAGCATACTATTTGAAATTCCTTCGGAACAGCAGCACAGAACAGCAGAATTCTGAGTCCAAAGTTCGAAGATAAACATATAAAGTTTGTTTTTGAACTTGTCACATTTATGATTTAGTATTTTAGATTTTAGTAATATTTCATGAAATTAATGAATGATGAGGATGCAATGAAAAGTGATAACTACCAAATCACCACTAAGCACTACCTAAAAATTTTGTATTTTGGGCTCTTCAGTTTAAAGTTCATCTAAATTTTTACAGGCTCTGCTCCTACTCTAGTTATCTCTTCTGCACTAAACATGTGGACGGTTTCTTTCCCACTGATAATAACAATACTTTTCCTTGCTCTTCAAGATGTATACAGTGAGAATGAGAAAAAGGCTAAAGAATTCATCCCAACACATGACTGGCAAATTGTTGAAAAAGGTTAATTATTATTTTTTATTGCTTATATATTTCATTAACATTATTTTACTAGGTCAAAAAATTCCAAAAGGACTTCACATAAGAGTCAATTTTGCCACAGGGAAAACTGAAGCCAAAATGTTAAATGAAAAGGAAAAACCCAATAAAGAAAATGCTCTAGTAGAAATGCCGGTAGACTATGAAACAGAAAGTCTTTTGGATACAGAAGTTATAAAAGAAGCTTTAAAAAAAATAAAAAATGATGAATATACTGAACACAAAGATTACAGGAAAACTAGCAATTTTCGAAGTTACGAACAAATTAAAGAAGATTTGTCAGACTTGAATCTCACTGCTAAAGTTGACACTGAAGTTGTAAAAGAGCTTTTTGACCAGTATAAGAGAGAAATAGAAAAGATTAATTTAAATGAGCATGCTATATTAAGAATACTTGAGGATTTCGACTTTTTGGCACATCAGTTTGATAATGGATTAGAATTTGTCAGACAAAATGGGTTTAATGTTATTATTTACAGAAATCTCAATCTCACCAGTGATAAAATCAAAGAAGAAACTTTGAAACTTTTTGGATCACTGGTGCAAAATAACGCAAAAGTGCAAATCCATGCCTTAGAAACTGGAAGTATACCGATTATTTTAAGAACTTTGAATCTAGAATCATCATCCCAAGTAAAAAGTCGAGGAGTTTTTGCTCTCAGTTGTTTACTTAGAAGATTTCCATTAGCCCAGTTTCATTTTATTCAAAACGGTGGACTCTTTATTGTAACCAAATTATTGACTGAGGAGTATCCACTCAAAATTCAAGTCAAGTTGGTAACACTAATGAATGATTTACTTTTGGAAAACTTACATGCCCTAAAAGGTACTTCTGAGGAGAATAGAAATATTTTGATAGGACAGTATAAACTTGTTAACCTAGAAAATTTATTACTGGAACAGAATTGGTGCAAGTTTTTGAATAAACTTTTAGTTACAATAGTAACAACCGATCCAGAGAATCATGATATAATAGATAAATGTTTGACTTCAATGCACACAATAGCAAAAAAATGTATTGGATCATTCCACGAAGAACTTTTATTGAAATTGAAGAAGAGGTATGAAATTTTGTCAAAGGAAAATTTAGAAGAAAGTGGGAGTGATAATTCAGATTTCTTTTCAAACATTTATAAATTATGCAGCGAAATCTTACATTTAGTAAATATCAAGACTGAATTGTGATAAGGAAATGAAACATTTAAATAATATAATTGTTTTTTTACTATTGTCAGGTTTATTAGCCATGGTGTTCCGGGTTTTTAGGCCTGACGTTTCATTTGCAATTGCGGCAAACATCAAAGGTAATGCGGCAATAGTCAAAGTGATCTACCTTGCTGTGATATTTTCAGTTTGAAGACTTTAAACATGATTGAAAGCTCAATTTTCAGTAAAAATACACGCTTCATAAAATCAAAATAATGGCAGTGCAAATATTGACAGGATCATGCTCAAATCTAACAGAATGATAGAGACCATAACATTCTTTAAAATTTTCAAATTTCACACAAGAAAAAGGTTTAGTAATAATGTCTATACCTATATTGATGTTCCATGGGAACATACATAATTTCAACTTTATTAAAAATTAAATTGCTTATAAAATGATGAGGAACATGTGTTTTGATCTCTTTGTATTTAAAGTTGTAGTTTTATTGATAAAAGATTGATTATCCTCATATATCACAATAGAATTATTGCCTTGTGTATTATGTCATCCAAAAGTTGTTTAACAAATAGATATTCATAAACTGTACCTTACGATTTGATCTTTGCAAACTTCATTAAAAAATATATTCCACACTTTTCGCAATTACAGTAGCTTTCTGGTAGTGAATGACATACTGACAATTAATCATATTATATACTCTAATTTTTTTATACCCCAAGTAAGCATAAGTGAGAGATACTTAAGTACTTCTTCAATTCATAATACTTTTATACATCCTCAAATTATGGTTACCTAGAACATATATCCATTCTACATCAATAATACAATGTCAGTTTCTAAGAAAACAAGTTCAGTAATGGTGATCTATTTAAATCCAATTGTTCATTCAGAAAAACGTTTGAATTTCTAAGTTTAATTATTTCCATTGCTTCCAAATAATTGAGCTTTAAACCTTTATTTTCTACTTGTAAAATTTCAAAATCTCCGTTAAAGATATGATTTTCTTCTAAAAGATTAATTGAATATGTTGAACTTGTTTTCTCATTTATATGGCTCATATGATGCTCTTTTTGAAAATACTTTTTTGGAAAGTATTTTGTTTATTAATTCAGTTTTAGATCCGTTGTTTACTACTAGAACTACTAGAAGTGACTTCATTATTGAATAAACAAGATATTAAAATTGTATATAGAACCGGTGATACCTAGGAAAAGTAAATCAAAAATAATAAAGACAAAACATCCAAATTCGAGAAATCAGGAGTAGGTACATAAATTAAATTGTGAAACTTGTCCTAAGATATATATTGGTCAAACTGGCAGATCATTCAGAAATCACATCAAAGAACATCATATGAGCTATGTAAATGAGAAAACAAGTTCAACATGTTCAAATCATCTTTTAGAAGAAAATCATCTTTAACGGAAAATTTCCACATAGAAAATAAAGGTTCAAAGCTTAATTATTTGAAAGCAATAGAAATCAATAAACTTGAAAATTCAAACATTTTAAAGAATGACCAACTGGATTTGAACAGACCACCGTTACTGAACTTGTTTTCTCAGAAACAGACATTGTATTATTGATGTAGAATTGATATAATATGCTCTAGGTAATCATAATTTGAGTAGATGCTTTCCATAATTATGATCGAAGAAGTAACTAAGTAGGTTTCCCTCATTGGGGTATATAAAAATTTGGGTACACAATAGTATTAACTTTCAGTATGTCATTCACTACGAAAAAGCTACTGTAAGGTGTAATTTATAAAATTGCTATGGATCTTCATCAAGTAACGGCCGAATCAATAAAAAAAAAGACATTCTGTTATGCATTGTATTAGAGCCACATATTTGGCTTCTGCACTAAATGAGGCAACATCATCTGTTTCTTTGATTTAAAAAAAATATTAATTAAGGTCGACATCTCCCCTCATGAAGACGCCATATGTAGGATCACATAGAACTCTATCCTTGGATATCAAAGATAAACGAGGATCCCCAAGGCGATCCGTTGTAAAGCCAAGCTTTGACATCGACCACCGATGAAATTCGTCCTCTATCTTTCACTGCAAAGCAGCTAGTTGAAAATCAGAGCCCAAATACAACGCATTAATTATTCAATACAAGGCAGGGCTTTTTAGACCCATCATACATCTCATCAGTGATGCTAGGCTGAACCATAAATAAACTTTTGGATTCAACTGCCCTTAGAGGACAATCCTGAGTAAGTAAGGTCGATGACTTCTCTCCTTGAAAAGACAGCATTGTTTCGACCCACCATAGGTCTCATCAGTAGTGCTAAGCAGAACCACAAATGCAATGATGGTCTCAACTGTCTTTGATGGACAAGCCTGCATAAGTGAGGGCAATGGCATCTTTCCTAACGAAGACGCCATTATACAGAATATGATGATAGAAGTTTCATACAGGGTATCTGACAATTGGCACCCTCAACTTTGAAATTTTAAATACGGATATGTACGTGACTGTTCAAAAAATGAGGTGAAAAAGTGTTTTGCCTATTCGGCGATTTTCGCTATCGAAAAATATGGATCAAAGAATCTGCATCAAATTTTGTGTAAAAACTGGAATTATGTGCTCAAAAACACCTGAAATGTTGACCGTGGCATATGGTTGGACGTCCCAGCATATCAACAACCGATGAAAATGTTTAGAAAGTGAAGAAAATTGTTATGCAGAATTATCGAATCACTATTAGAGAAGTCGCTGAGGATATCGGCATATTGGTTGGCAAATGTCATGCAATTTTTTTGTGAATTTTAGGCATGAAGCGTGTGGCAGCGAAGTTCGTTTTAAAATTGCTGAATTTTGAAAAAAAAAACCATCGCATGAGCATCGCTCGGGAATTGTTGAATGACCTTAACAGCGATCCAGATTTGCTCAAAAGGGTCATAACTGGCGACGATACGTCACTTGGGTATATGGTTATTAATTACTTTGAAACCAATGGAAAACCCAGTAGAGCCAAGATCAAAAAAAGCACGCCAAGTTCAATCAAATGTCAAGGTTTTGCACTGTTTTCTTTGATTACCATGTCGTAGTGCATCAGGTGTTCTTGCCGCTTGCGAGAAGCAATACGAAGAAAAGTTCTGTATCTTGGAAAATTCACCTGGTCACTCTTCATTGCTTGTTCGTAATTTTTTGGCCAAAAGCAACACCGTAATCATGCCTCAGCCACCGTATTTACCAGATTTGGCTCCCAAAAAATGCATATCAGAACTGCTTCAAGGATTGGAAAAAACGCTGGCATAAGTGTATTGTATCTGAGGGATACTACTTTGAAGGGGACAAATTAGAAATTGATGAATATATATATATACAGGGTGTCCCTGGACTTCCTCTTTTCCTCATGATTGATTCGCCCATTACTTGATGAAGATCCATAACAATTTCACAAACTACACCTAACCATTTGATCTTCACAAACTTCATTTTCAAAAATTCTTTCAAGAATTAACTTTCACCTTGGGTGTAGTTTGTGAGAATATTTCCCTCTCTGAAGATCACAATATCAAATTTGAAGATACAAAAGTTTTGGTAACTACCTACATCTATATATCATGCCAGTTTCAATTTTGCAATATAAAACACAAAAACAAGTTCACTAGAGAGGAAGCAACCCAGGTTAACAAAGCTTAGCAACCTGGTTTAACACCAAAATTATATTCAACCCCACCTCACTAATTATCCAACCGGAAATAGTTACCTCAACGTTACCTCAATAGTAACCTCAACGATACGAATATAAGCTCAGAGACAGAAAACAATAATCTTTGAACTTCTGAAGAAAATGTCTACATACAATTTATTTTTCACGCTAATTGGTACTCAAAAAATTGCTGATGTAGGTATAACATGAAAGTTCCAGAGAATTAGTATAACTGTTTATTTTTTGATGTTGCTAACCAGCACGAGTACCTACCAGACGTTGAACTTTTTCAATATAACAACAAGAGTGTGGCTAGCAAATCCCATTTCCGAGATATTGCTATTTTATTTTTTTCAAACGCCCAGAATCGCTCTATGAGCATTTACTCAAATTGCAGTCGCAAATTGCTGTTAAGCTACGGCATCGGGGAGATGTCATTTTTTTATGTGTTTAATGCCCTTTCATGTAATAAATACCACGGGTTTTTTGAAGAAAAAAAGATCATTGAAAATAGAAAGAAAATGACAAAATCTCCAAAAGTCGTACCTCAATTATGAGAAGGGCTATTGCAATTTAAGTAAATACTCATACTCTTCCTCTTGAAGATGATCACTTGGTTATCGAAACACGTGTCGAGGTGTTAAAATAACGGTTTGGTGTTGGGAAAAAACTCCAGTAATATTTAAATGCTCTTAGTTGACAAACAGAATCAAATTTTTATATATTTTCTTGGTTTACTGTGCCAAGTTTTATCGAAATCTGAAATGGTGAAGTTAAATTTTTCAGTGAAGTATGTTGATTTGACATGAAATGACCCTTTCTTGAGTTTCAAAAGTTTTTTCAATTCTCTCATACGTTTTTATTTTGCTTCACCAAACTCAATAAAGTACAATCTGTCGAAACTTGTTATTCATATTTTCTTGTTATTCAATTTGTTGCTTGCTTTTATATTTATTTGCTCACCATATAGTTGTTGATAAAAAAAGAGGGAGACTGTCAGAAGTTACCTTGGAAAAGTCATAAAAATTTTGTTAGACTAAAAATACAGTTTTGATGGCGATTCCTGAAAGGAAGAATAACTAGAGTCTTAACATTGGTGACCCCGACAAACGCACGACATGGAAAAAGATGCGTCGATAAATTCACAAACATCCTTGCTGGACAGACCTAGATGAGGAACTGCAGGGATTAACAGGAATCTTGATGATAACTATATCTGGCCTGATAAATTTGGCAAAGAAAGAAGTTGTATACCATCAAATCCTGTTTCAGTAAAATCGAAACAATCAAGAGACAAAATGAGTGAAGTTTTCAGTCTACATTCACAATAAGGCATAGACGGAAAGCGATTAGCATTTGAAAATGAGAAAAAGAGACAAGAATTA